CAATTTGCCTGTCGGCACACACATTGATTACATTGACAGCAGGCAGAGAGCGACAACAGGCAGAAAGCAGCCGTACAATGTGGATTTGTCGCTATTTTTGTTGGCATTTCTCGTCTTTCAAACCGCATTCGCAACCGGGAAAAAAGCCCGAACACAAAATAAAACTTATCTACATAATTCGATTGCACACCCTGTATAGTGTGTGTGTGTGTGTTTGCTGTGCCATAAAAAAGAATCAGACATGGATGTGTATATCCATGACAACACTATGTTTGATACTTGTCTGAGGGTGGTAAAACGACAATGAAAACAGAACTTGTTAACCAAGTTAACAACAACGTGGAAAATACATATAAATAAAATATTTGGAGCCGCTTTAGACACACACAATATGCACACACGAAAACAACAACGACGACAACGACGACGATGACACGTCACAGCGGCCACCGTGTGCTGTTTGTTGTTCGCTGCTGTTGCTGCTGCGGGAAAACATCGATGTAGCAAATGTATCGAATGTTGTTGAATCACCTTTGCATTCAATAAATTAATAGTTCAAATAACTATTGGCCGTCTTTTTACATATCTACACATTTGTCGCATCGATATTAATGACCATTTCGAACAATTAACCCGGACACTTGACTCTTCGAACGCGAACAGGAGTGAGCGACACCGACTGAATGTATGGTTTGACCGATTAAAAGCATGTTTTTGACTTTGACTGCCATTGAGCTGCTTAACACTGTTTGCCAAAGTTTTGCCGTCTACTCAAAATGAGAGAGAGAGAGAGCGTTGCGGAGTTCAAGCCGGAGAGAAACGAAAAAACTCAAGCCGAAGGAAACGGAAAAATTCGAGCATATAAAACGAAGTTGAAAAATTAAGACCAAACAAAAATACACGCTTTTTCGTCGAAGTTCTTTGAAATTTTCGCTTTTTTTAGATTCAATTGACTCTGCCCCTGCCTTTTTCAATTCAACTCTCTGCTGAGAGTATGGAATAATGATTTTTCCTGAAAAATTGATTGAATGCGGGGTATAGTTTCATTAATTTCCATTAAAAATCAAATATTAATCGCATGGCATAATTTAAGGAATTTCGATTTTTGAGTATTGACAACTGCCATTTGATCTGGGCGATTAAAGGTTCAAATATCCGAATACATGATGAAGCTTGGAATATCTAGTCTTAGTTTTAGTATATCAGACCGATGGATTAAATTGCCAAGTATTGGAAATTGCAATGGGTTTGTGGGCAGTCAGGATTACAACAACAACAACCTACTACTATGCCATGATTAATCGTGTTATGTATGATTTTTTGCACTCATTTAGGCTGTGAATGATTTTTAAGCATTTGCTTCAAAGTTTTTGGTTGTTTCGAACCTTGTGTCGGATTTTAGTTGTATCAGATTGTGTGTTTTTCTTCTATCCGAACCATTTTATCCCTGTCTGTCTTTTATCTTATCACAACAAAGTTCTTCGTATTCATTTAACTACTTTTCTTCGTTCTTCGAAGCGTTTGATTAAAATATGCATCGATTTTTTTTGTCAACATTTAAAATCGTTCGCTGAAAAAATCCCAATTGAATCGACGAAATTGGTGAAACAAAACATATCTATTTATGTTTGTTTGAGTGTTTTCTGTTTCTCGATGTGTGGGACACCACGTCACATTAAAAAAAAAAAATCACGCGCACGGTACAGTTTATGCTGTGTATTTTGATGGTGAAAAGCTTTTGGATTTTGGTCGAAAACAACTCGTTGTCATCGTTTCTGCCAAAAATGTCGTCATGTAAACACAAAGAGATAGACAGTGCCTAAGCGTGAAGCGTATGAGTAGGCCGAAAATTAAATCTATGATTTTATCAGTGTCAAGTGATATTGAGTGTGAAACATACGCTTTGGCTTAATGAAAGTAAATAAGCGTTTTTGATTGTAAATGGCTCATCGATGGCTTTAAGGTTCGTTTTTTTTTTCTTCAATTCTAACTCCCTCTCTGTCATTTCTTTTAGCATGGCCAAGAGAATGCTGCGTATTGACCCACATGAAATGTTCTCGATTGGATTTATTGAACAACTTTTCTCTCTCTCTCTCTCTCTCGCGTTGGTTTCGAAATCGTTCAGCGAAAGGGTTTTATACATTCTATGTACACCATTTTTTGTTGTTCATCCATTTCAAGATTCTCTTTCCCATTTCATAGTAAGCGAAAGTAATATAAAGTTTATGTGTGTGTCGAAGAAGTGAGCGGTATGTGTGTGACAATTGGGCTACTAGTATGGAGTCAATCAACTGCAAGCATAGCTGTGGAAAATGATGGCAAAAATGCAATGATCTCTGACTCTTGGCACCGTCGCGCTAACTTTTTGTATAGAAAAATCGAGAACAAAAAACTTCCATCGAAACAGGATGATCATTTTGATTTGAGACATTTAATCGGTGTGAAAATTTAATTTGTTCGGCATTTGACTTGTCTTTTTCATACGCGCCATTCTTGCAGCTTCGGTTGTTTATTGCATACATTCTCTACCAAGATTACAATGTTCACACAAGCAAATCCGTTTGATGTTAGTATACTAATACAAGCTCTCTAACATGCATACACACGCACACACAAAGGGCTCCACAGACACATTGACAAAACGGCACGCAGACGACCGAATCAGCGGAAGAGAGAGAGAGAGAGAGAGAGAGAGAGAGAGTATAACATTTGAAGTTTCAATTCGAAATAGTATTTGAGACACACGACGGATATCTATATATACAATCGGATTTTTATTTGTACATAGGTCGCGCGCGCGTAAAAGGAGAGCAAGAGAGAGTGAGGAGCGGGCATACATACAGCAGCGGCAGCAGTAGCAAAACAACAGAAAAAAACGAGGGTGGCTTTGGGATTCGAAGCATGCTGCTGGGACCAAAATATCGACTGTAAGACACTAAAAAAACGTAGTCAATCGTCAAGTCAGCTGAATTAAATTGGTGTATTGTATATAAGCGGCAAAACGCCAATATCAATGTAACGTTTTTGTGTCCCGTTTTCATGTGTTGATGTTGATTCTTTTTTTCCTTCTTCTTCTTCTTCTTGCTGTTCACTCTTCCCTTCTTCGACACTTCATTGATGCTGCTTGATGTGTTGCTCTGTCTCTTTTTCTCTGATGTGGCTGTGTGTTTTCTAAGGGGGGATTCGAAGATTCATTACGAATGAAGTATCCGTTGTGTGAATCATGCATTTCCATATATACACCCAAAGTGTTACGGTATATTGTGTCTATTATACGTCGTGAAATTCGGCAAAAGGGCATCTCATCCGCTTGTTCGTTCATTCGCGCGCGCCATTCGCCCGCCAAGAACTCGAACAACAACACTGAACACCGACTCACACACACAGAAAGTGAGTGACAGAGTGCGAGATTGTGGAAAAGAAAGAGCAAACGCATACGTAATAGAGATGAGTGGAAATTCTGAATACATAATACATGGCCCCTTATTATTATTGTTATTATTTCCTTTTTTTTTGTTTTGTATATCTATACGTATATATATATATACATATCTAGATGTATGTGATTGTGCGTGTGTATTTTTAGCTTTCATTTTCTTTGTAACGCCAAAGCGACGAATTTCCTTTTCCTATTGTCGAATTTTTCGTGTTGTCGATTTTGTCGTGTGTGTCCTTAACTTTTAACGCCGAAAGACACAGCGGAACAAATGAACAGGCAAGACGAAAGCGAGAAAGAGAGAGAGAGAGAGAGAGAGAGAGAGGAGAACCAGCGACGAGAAAGACGAAGAACAAAAACAAACGGGACACTATTCGATTTTTCTGCATGCACATTATTTTGACATTTGTTTTGCATTAGAATTTTTATTTGGCGTTTCTTTTGGTCTGACTTTTCAAGTGGTTTTCAACTATTTTCATCTATCTTTCTTTCGCTTACAATCCCTTCAAGCAAGCCATTCTGCTCTCACTCTCATTCAGGTCGTGTGTTTTTTTTTCGTTGTGTTATTTGCCTTTTGATTTTGGCATGTTAACGTTGCAAGTGTAGATGTACCTCGAGATATGTGTGCGTGTAAAGTGGCTGCTACTTTTGTTTGCGTTTTGTTTTTGCTTCTTTCTCTCGTTTTGTTCGTGTTATGACGCGCGCACGCTTTTTTTCCTCTCAACTGTTGAAATAATGATTATAATAGAATGTCTGCATCTCCAAATACACTCCATTTTTATTGAGAATCGATTTACGAAGAATTCGACGGAAAATTGGTTATTATAGTTTGAAAGAGGGAGCAGGCAACACATATGGCGAAACGAAAGGCAAAAAAAAAACACACACACAGAGCCAGAGCAGCAGCGGTGGAATTTATTATGTTCTCTCCACTTTTGTTTTCGCACTCTGGCCCTCCCGACAAACGACGACAGCCGAAAAAAATGATGAAAACAACAACGAGCCAGAGTGAGACGAAGAGCTTGAAGATGAAAAAAAAAGAGTTTGCAAAACGCTCTCTGATTTATTTTATTTGATTTTTCTTCATTTGTCTCTCTTACGGAGAGACTCTCACTTTTACTTTCGATTTTCAATTTTTTTTTCTTTCGTTTCTCCATTTGCTGTACGGGACTCGCTTCTTTCTATCGTTGTTGACGTCGTCATAGCCACCCATGACAATTGTAACGCTCTTACGTGCTTACGTGATTTGCATCATTTTGCAACACATGATATGAGGATTTTCCTTCATTCTCGCACTCCTTCAACGCACATACACACATTGTCATATTTCATTTAAATCTCATTAGGCGGATGGCCTTAAACACATCATCAAGACACACCGTAAGTAATTGGTTGGAAAATTATTTTCCGCTTTTCATTTCCAACCAAATCAAAACGACGTCCAACTGCATTAGACTCAAACAGGCGAAGCAAAATGTTGCTTGAGATGCTATCAAGAAGCATATGCTTCCAACGAAAACACCAAAATATGAATGGGCTGTATATAAAAACCGTTTGTACATACCTATCTATAATCACTGGATCTGAAGGTGTTTCGTTTCGGTTTCCGCAGCTTTTCTTGTCACAGCATCGACTAAAGGAAATACGAGTTACAAACAGTTCATAATTAGATAGGGTTAAAGACAATTTCACTTTCAGGTTAATACGATGCCATTTAAAGAAATATTTTGTCATTTTTGCTGTCGTAATGCAATTGATATATACAATTGAAGTTGAAATGAATGAAAATAATAACATTTGCCATCCATGCGGTTGGAATGGCTCTCTGTATACATACCTGCACATTACTTCATGAGTTAATAAAACTCTACACATTTCCGGATTTTTGTCTTGTCCTTCGTATATAATGGCCTGCAATAAATTAGAAAATTTAGGAAACAACCAATTAGCGAATGTTTTTAAGTGAACGAATGTCTTACATACAATGTAATAACGAAAGGTGTAAAAGACAATGTGTTATAACAAATTGTATATAATTATCGAAATGATGTGGATTTTTGTGTTGAGGTAGACATTTATTTTTTTATTTTTCTTCGTACATTTGATGCCACCCGACATCGATTCACTTGCGTTGATTTGAGAAATCATTGAAAATTCGCTGGCATTTCGATTTTCTTACGTCTCGTCAACCTCATTCTAATAAGCGAGCCGAGTTGACCAGTGAAAATTCGAGCTGAATTGGTTAGTGATTGTAAATCCAGGAAAGTAACTAGCTCCTTAAATGGTCAATAACTTGAATTGCTAATGTCCATTTTATAAATAAAACATAATTTTAGCGCATGCCAATGAAGTTATTGAGTTTATTCTACATTGAAATTATTCAATCTGACAAAATACTAAAATAGTGAAAAAAGCACGACAAAAACCCTCGAAATTTTCAGAAGAAAAACAAATCGAAGAAAACAATTAATTTACAAGTAAAATTTATTCAAAAAACGTTTCAAAACATGGCAAATCAATAAAAACTCTTTCGATATTTTGACGAATTCGAATTCAAGACAGTCGCAAATTGCGACTTGTTACGCATAGACACTGTCTATTAGACAATCGCAACAGAATTCAAGCCAGTAGCGTTCATATGAAATTGGCTTTCTAAGCCAAAAATCGGTACGCAGTTAATTGGCATTTCGTTTTCTCCGTCATTCATTTATCTGAATGAAGCATAATGTATCATTTTGTGAAATGTTTGCATTCATATTTTCATGTGATTCGCATTCAATAGACTGGGCTTTATTTTCAATGGATCTTATGTTTGGTTGATTGATTCCATTCTCCCGGCTAATGGTGCGGTGTCAAGTAATAATAAGCTGCTCATTCACAAAACCAAAATCAAATCCGATTTTAATTGTAGATACATTGGAAAAGTAGATAAAAAAAGAACAAACGTCCGACCGTACGCGCGCCCGATTGAACCCTAAATAAAGTTGTATTACGGCATTAGGGAAAGTGGCAACCGGCAGCAGTCGAAACGATACAGCAGCAGCAGCAGCAAAAAAAATGAATGATAAACCTCAGATGTGCAACAAAACATCGATTATAAATAAAATGAGAAGGTCATCGCCAATACACATCCGTGTATATGTTGGGAAGCGAACGAACGAGAGAGCGATGCAGTTGCACATCTGGCTCGATTTATGCATACAACACCGAAATAAATGGTAAAAAAATGCGAACCGGGCGGAAAACAATCGACTGGCTTATCATATTTTCAATAACATTTTTTTTCCCGTATTCGTTTGTGCCTGGTAGCTTATTAGCGGTTGGCTTGACTCGCTGTGTGGCGGTGTTGAAGAAAAAATGGAAAAAATAAGCTCAATATTAGCCTATATCAAAATTATAATCGAAATGTAAGTAATAGTGGTAATCTGGGTAGAACGAAAGACAGAGTGAGAGTGCTCGAAGTGGGTGAATTTCCATTATATCTCTGTGTGCTACTACTTTTATTACGATTATGAAGAAGATTCGTTGTTATTATTGGCATTATATGTTTTTATTTGTGCATATGGTCGGGACTGTAAATGCACTTTGCCAACATTCCCCTTCGACCATTTTCAAATCCAATGTGTTTGCGTGTGAGTGTGTGTATTTTGTTCCGAGGCCAACCGCATTGCAACTCGCTAATTTCAAATAGATCCTTTCAATGTAGGCTCATCATTTATCTCTTCAGATTCAGCGCTGGCAGCCAGACTCATATGTTCTGATTTTCCGTCGATGCGATTCGGTGTGTGTGTGTGTGTGTTTGTGTGTGTGCGCGCATTATTATTACGTCAGACAGTCTTTTATTTGCCTTCTTGGCTCTCACAGTGCGAGCCTCGCACGTTGTGTGTTTGTAGTTGCGCGCCTTCAGACCCTTTGTCGGAAAGCAATGTATACACTCGACCAGTGTACACATTGAAAGAGATACGAACGGAGATTTGTATCTGCACTCAAAGAAAGCGAGAGAATGAAGCATGGAGTGAAAATATACACGCTCTAACCACAAGTTTTCACGCGTACACACATTTTTTCTGTTATCCACAGATAAAATCGATCTTAATCTCCATCGAATGGGTAAAAATAAGGGAATTCGATGCAATGAGATTCGATACAGTGGCAAATTTCGGTGTTTTCCATTCAATATTTACTCATTTCCAATTTCATTCAATCTTTTATTCTTTTCGGTCATTTTTTTCTTCATTCTTTTCTCTATCGTCGAGATATGTAAAGCAATTACTTCCGTTTTTTTTAACGAAGAAGAGATGGAATCCTCTTTTTGTTCAAGATTGAAAATCATTTGCTATATTTAACTCTCATAACGAAAAGGAATAGTTTTTGAAATGCAAAAAACTCGAAGGAAAATGTGCGAAAAAAATCAATTGCATTTCCAAATTGGAAATAAGTCAAAAAAAAACAAACAAACAATAAAATTGAATGAAAAAAATGAAGAATTTAACAAAAAAAAACCGTGTCCAAATTCCATAATTAATAAATCACATCAAGATTTAATGGTTTCAAGTTCATTAAATTTGTCGAGAAAAAAAAGTCGTCTCTGTCTGTTTTATTTTCCCATAGCGCATCGTCGGAGCACTTATACAATTTGCTCTTAGCCGGCGAATGAAATGAAACACATGTCGAAGATTTCATTTGTTCAGCGTGCAGAAAATTGACTTTTTACAGCGTAGCGTACTGCTGCTGCTGCTGCTGTGATGCCATAAGAGCAACGTAGTAACAGTAAAAGCGATAATGTGGACACGCGCGCTTGCAATGCAGATTCGATTACTGGCATATTCATATAATCACGTTCGTTCGAATGCAAATACACGCATATTTATCTGTTTAAACTGGCAAAACGATTTGTGGACATAGGTGAATACACAGACAAACTCGTACACACACACACCACTTATGTCGAATACATCATAAAATAATTGTGGTACTTTGCAATGCACAATCGCGCGTGCAACTCATTTTCGACAACAAGGAAACGAAACGAACAAAAATTGTTCCTCTCTCCTTCCCTCTCTTTTTTTCTCACTCGCTCATTATGGTTGGTTGATTGCAGCCGCATTAAAAATGTTTATCGCAAAACTCCGTCCACGTGTCGTGGTGGTCACGTGACCTTGCTAATTGTATTTAAATATTTAAATTTAATCAAACTGATTGGCCTCTCCGTGTTGGGGAGGCGTGTGTGGGTCGTTTGTGCATGTGTTGTGGGAATAAAATAAATAATATAATGCATGTTATACTTATTTCCTTTCCAATAACAATATATCCGATTGCATTTTGAAACTAATAATTTTCGGTTGTTCCCGCTTGTCTTTTCGAATTTTTACATCGGTTTTTGTGATGTTTTCGAGTCACGAAGTGCATTTTGATTAACCCACCCCGGCACAAACACACACACATAGCATAAAACTAATAAAGAGATACATTCCGTTTCAGCTACTCATTGGATGGCGACAAGGACGACGATGATGATGATGACTACCGCGTGCGCCGTACGCATAATGCCCAAATGGGAAAATAGATATACTCGATTTAATAACAAACAATAAAATGTGAGCAACAACAATAATAATCGGTTTCTATTAACCATCGACTCAACTTTTATTGTTCGCCACCAATATTGTTTAGCGGTGTCGATGGTGGATTGCATTTTTCTTTGCCGCATTCGTTCATTGTTTCACCGCAATACCGGAGCAGGAACATTGACTTTTATGAACTTTTACCGGTGTGAAGTTCACACAGTGGACGAGGATACACTTGGATACAAGTTGCTTGAAAATTTTCCAATCGCTACGCAATATGTGCAGATCAGACACGTGACCACACTCGATGTTATAGACACTGATTCAGCGGTATTTAATGATGTTTAATCATTTTTTAATTTGCTTTGTTTGTTTTTTAAAAAAAATTGATTAAAAATTAAGAATTCTGAAGAAATTAGACATTTCCCCATTGAATTGTATACAGATTCATTTTGAATTCAATTGTAAAGATTTTTTGAACTTTTGAGGGTGAATTCTGTGAACTTCTAACTGAAAACAATCGTTCACATCAAGGTGCTCCACGAGCACTGCTCGTAAATGTTTTTTTTTGTATCGCTGCAATTCTGACGTTTTGCGTTAATGGATTTAATCGTCAATTATCTATTCAAAATCAAGCCACACACATGAAACTTTCATGATTGCGTCCGTCAATTATTCGTTTTAGCATCCGGCGAGAATCTAATCACAGTTTACATTTCCCTGGGATCAATTTTCGATGTTTATTAACATGTATCGATGTTGAATATTTGCTTTTGATTTGGTCGGCATTTCCAATTTGTTTATTTTGATTCAAAATATAATTCGGTGCCAATAAGTAAAATAGGGAATTTGTAACAGAAAAAAGTGAGTGCGATGCGCGTTCGCGGTCCAAAGAGTGTGAAACTAGGTTTATTTGTTGGTTTGGCATAAAATATCTAGTGCCACACACACACATTACAATCGGGTGTTGTGATAAAACTAATTTAATATTACAATGCCCATACAAAGATACACAATGATTTTGTTGGCAAGCCGAAAATCGAAATGACATTAGTGTGTTTTATAAACAATCGACAAGTAGATTTAGCGCAGCGAATCAAACCAATATGCCATCAAGAGTGGAACAGAACCGAAAAAAAAACGTAACATTTGTGTGTATCATTTTGCAATACGGCCAAACCCATTCGCATTTTACACGCCATGTACTCCAGTGAATGAATCAGGCGAGCAAAATAGAGAGAGAGAGAGAGAGAGAGAGAGAGAGAGTCAATATCCGAGTCGACTGCATTATTTTTCGATTAGACATAGTATACAACAACCGGCAACAATAATAGCAATGAGTCAAAATAAAAGGGGGAGAATGTCGAGAGTGTGCAAGGCTATGTGTGTGTGTGTGTATGATGATGCCTTGCTTTACGATGAGCGCACGACAACGACCTTATGTAGAGCAAACGGCAGCAAAAATAACAAATTCATGCGACCAGACGAATCAATCCTGTTATGAGATGTGAAGGTCTTAATCAATTATTTCCCACTAAATATTGTATAATTTGTTTTCGTTGCGCTTTTTGTCAGTACATTTAACATGCTTTGTTTTCCATATTGGACGGGAAAATGATGACTGAGGCTGTATTGACCTCGGATTGTTGGTTCAACGGTGTTTTTAGTTTGGATGCTAACGAGCGATTGAATATTGATTTCAATGAGGAATTTTGAATATGTATTGTTGAAAATTTTCAATGAATAGAAAAGACTTCTTGGGGATGGTGTTCAAGGTATCATTTTGTGAGTTTGTTTTATAGTTGATTTTTAACATTTTTCATGTGTATGCAATTGTGTTGGGTATCATTGAATGTCAACACAGTTTCCTCCTACTCAAAATTGTTACATTTTCTAAGTTTGTGCTGGACTTTTGACAGATTTCTTTTCCAAAAAAAAAAGACTTGCAAGTCAAGTTAGGAAAAGTCCAATTAAACCGTTTGAAATTGTTACTCTCAACCGGCAAATAACAGGCCATAGAGAGTTAAAAAAAAAATTATAAATGACAGATGATCTATTATTATTTGAGTCATTAAAAATTTAGACGATGTGCCTTCTGTGTTGTTTTTTTTAAAAGCCATTTTTCTCAGTTTGATTGACTGCATCACTTTTGTTCACATGAATTGACTGCAGTTGACTTTCATTTCGACTGCAGTCAAATCAAGTTCTTTTATTCCGAATACAGGTAATTTCGGATGATGCGTAATAAAGCAATTCGAAACTGATCACATTGAGATCGTGTTTGGTCTGGCATTTGTTGTGCAGTAAAAACATGTTCGAAATGAATTTGTCAAAGCGGTAAACAATACGCGGATGATGCCTATATATTCCCCCTATCAATGCAAACACGCAAAACTTATTCCTGCCCATAATTTGCAATAAACAAACCGTACGGCGAACGCTCTTTCTCCCTCTCTGTGTCTCTCTGTCTCTGTCCGACAGAAATCGAATGCCGAAAAGAGCGCACGGCAAAAATGGGAAAGAGCAAACTTCATCTGTGCAGGGAGAGTAGAATCACTTATATCCATATATAAATAAACATACATGTATGTTTAATGTCGTTTGCTTTTATTGTGTGCTTCTCTGTTATGCCGTGTTTTATCCGAAGTACTCAAAAATCTATTTGATCTGCAGTTTTATTTTGTTATGTTGATTTTTTGCTTCTTTTAGCGATGTTTCGCGCTGGTACGCTCGCCCAAAATGCAACGAAACCGTAGTTGAACCAGAGAGCGGGCGAGTGCGTGTGTGCAGTGCACGAGAGATAGAGAACGAGCGTACTAAATGAAATGACGATAGAGCAACAATAACAAATAACAATAGATTTGATGGAGAGAAGCAAAAGCGAGCAAAAGAACGGGAAAAAAATCACCCCTAACGATGTGTACATGATAAAGTAATGTATGCGTTGGGTCGAAAATCGAGTTAATGCGATCACCATATGTCTACATAAAACGAAATACGAGCGTGCGCGCAGCGTGCGCACATACAGCACAGATGAGAGGAATTTCGAAACGAGCCAAACATACAAACACATACAGTAATTCACCGAAAGACAAGTGAAGTCGTAGAGTTATTTCCCGAATTTGATTTCATTACTGCCTCGTTCGTTTTTTTTTATCGACTTGACACACACACAATCGCTCTGGGTGTGTATTTTTTTTTCAATTCAAGATTAGTTTTCGAATTAATTGACGAATAGTGAGGCAATGTGTGTTTTCGTTTTTTGCTTTGTTCATTCGCTTCCAAATGTCACTTTACACTTGCAAATAAGAGATTGCGCAGTTTTTCTTTCTCGTCTCTCTCTCTCTCTCTCTCTCTTTCATCCTCGTCATATCTCGTATCAGTCGGGTGCATGTTTTAAGTTAGTCGTTTTGGTTTTTGGTAATTCGATGATTTGACCTTCTGTGCTTGAAACACACAAAATGTACTGATTGTCGCTTGTAATACGATACGAAATGAAACATGTGTTCTGTTTATTATATCCTAATCAGGCCTTGTTCAATGGTTGGAACCATTAATGCATCCGAACTAATCACCCATAAACTGAAAATTGCAAAACGAATCTATGTGGAACTGATTCCAGAGCACACATACACACCACTACTTTGGACATTTGAAAATTGGCATGCTTTTAACGATGTTTTGACGCACAAACGAATTATATTCATTGTGTAACGTAAATGTAAACGAAATTGATGATAAAGAAAAAAGACAGACAAATTTTAGTGTTCGCTATGACTCTGCTCGAAACTATTTGGTCAGTTATTTCGACATTATCATCAAAGAAATGTGTGATATTTTGTGATTTTATCATGATTCGTGGAATTCAAAGCCATCTGTAGCCATGTTTACTTCTGCATCCATATCAATTAAGCCAAAAATAATGCCATTTTAATTGAAAATAGCAAAGAAAAACAAATAAAATCAAAAGAAAAATAATCGAGATGAATCTTACCTGTTTCGTTTGTGAGTCGATCAGCCGCACGAAAATATCCTGTTCCTGCCTAGCACCTATATTGACATAGAAATATGAGCGGAAAAAGAAGAAATATCAAACAATGTTACAATATGTCTCAATATGCTAATTGAAAATATAAAATATCTTGGGCAATGTAAATTTGTTTGTCCCATGAGAAATACCGTTTGATTTTAGATTAAAAATAGCGATCGTATTTTCATGCAACAGATATGAAAAGATGACGAATTTCATTTTATCGCCAAAAAACATTAGAATAATGTAGTTTTGTGTGATGAAAATATGGTTTTTTCATAATCAAAAGATTTTGGTCGAAAGTGAAATGTAATGTGATAAAACCGAAACCATATGGCCAGTGTCAAATAAAAAGTTGTGATTTCTTCGATTGTTATTATCGTTCTAAATGAATCATAAGATTTGGATACATGCTGTGGCCGTCCAAAGTACAGAATATCCATGCACTGCAATGCTTAGACGTAAATACAAAACGGTTAATGAAGTGAACGATTGTTCTTTTTTTCGGAATAATTTCCATATGAAATTGTTGCAAATATGGACAAAGGGATGAGAGTGAGCATGAGTATGTACTATGTAGTCTGTAATTTATAGGCTTTTGCCATTTATCGTTTTTTGTCCATTTTTTTCTGCAACTTTGGCTCTTTTGTCTGTCTCATTTTTCCCACTCAACCCGTTTTCACACTCGTCAATGCACTCCACACACACACACACACGTTAACAAGAGCAGCAGCAGTAGCAGCAGCAACAACAATATCAAAAAATATGTATAATATTTTAAATTGGCGACAGGGGACTCATATTATTGAACGATCTGAAAATGTATTATTAAAATATATTCCGACTAAATGAAATTTTTGCCGTTTCCCATCTCATTCACAAAACGAACATAATAACGGCGAGCCCGGGGTGGTTTTTCCGTGTGTATTGTGTCCTTTTGCGCTACTTGTACATTCATTATTAATATCATCGTAATTTTATTTCGATTTCACTGTGGAAGTGATGTGCGCTCGATGCGCCCCAACAAATGCATTCCAGTGTAATGCCCTGCACACACACACAACTCAGGCGGTTTGAGCGAACAAATGGTTTTGACGTGTGTTTCAAAAAGCGTTTACAATTCGTTACTAAAACTACTCGAATCATTTAAATTAGTTGCATTCGAATTAGTTGCATTTGTGTGCGGGAATTGAAAAATGAAACGTTTCAATGAGGTTTTATTTTTCTATCGTCCCAACCAAATCCCATTATCGAGCAATAAATTTTACGCAATTCGTTTTCATAAATTTGTTGACCATGTAGCCAAATTCAAATCAATTGCAATAAATAATTGAATCCACGTATTCTAGAGCGTTCAACTGATTTTCCCTGTGTATGTCTTGGAAAGCCGCAGCCATTGGGTGGATTTTAGTTGAAAACCCAACATTATTATGGCTTATTACTAACTACATCTCTGGTTGGACAATTGTTTGAGGCCAAACCGACCGGCACAAATTCAAACGTCCTATAAAATTAATTTAATAACAATTAAACTAAATTGCGGTTCATTAAGCACATGTGCACACAAGGCATGGATGTGTGCGTGAGTGTGACTCAGGTGTATCAACAAGAATGACCCAATCCACTTGTGTTTTTTTTTCTCGCTTGTTCTGAATTTAAAGCCATTTTAGTTAAATTACGATCAAACAAATTGATATATGCATTTTGTACACAAACATACCACTGCAACCAGAGGCATATAAATCCAACTCGAAAAACCACGGTTTCCACGCAAATTTCATAATATTTAAAACACACACACTTACCATTCGCATAGAGTAACTGTAGCCGATACTGAATTCCATTGTTTGTTTTTGTACTGTCCGTTTCCTAATTGGGTGAAATCACAGAAAAACCATTCATTTTATTATTATCAATATGGTATATATATATATATATATTAGTGGGCTATATGTGGGAAGGCAGTGGATTGAATTTATGTAAAATACACCATTTTATTATTATTCCAATCATCAGATTGAATTGAATTCGACGACATATTTACCTGATCTTTTTCTATAAATCCAATGAAGGCAGTACGTTCAATTTCGATTGGTTGCTCGCTTCGATCATACAGTGCAATCACAAAGTGAAAAAAGTTTGATTTTCGTAGATTACTGGGCGGCTGTTTTTCGAAATGGGCACGGCCAATGCCGAGACTGATGTTTACGTTTATCCATTTGACAAGGTGATGAAAGAGAAATAGGAGAGAAAGTTTTGTTAAAAATGTGGCAAATTACTACAGAAAAATTGGCTAATTTTCCCTAGCTCAGTTATAAATAGCTAAATAAACATTTTGCAAGCTCAGCAAAAACAACCTTATGATCGATGACGTCAGTCAAATGTACAGAAGGAATTGGAGGGAATATTATCATTTGTCAGTGAAAATTGAACAATTTTGAAGAGGAAATTTTCATATGTCAAGCAGCACATTTTTAATTAAAAACAAAAACACACTCGAATGAGAAAAGGTGAATGATTCATCGAAGATAAGCTATGATATGCTCTCTTAATTTGAGAGAAAAATTCAAATATTTGATCAAACTCAAGGAATTTCCAACGAAAGCATTTTTCAACAACGATTGATAATGATGGAAAAGTGTTTGAGCCCATTGGTATTCATCGGAATAACTCAGATTAAAAAAAAATTGAAACAAACTTGAAGAGAATAGTTTTATTGAAAAGAATGATCCGAATTCATTCCCATGACGATTTCGTCGAAGAAAAAATGGTTCAACGCTTCTTTTTTCTTTTCATTTTTTACTCATTTTATTCGGAAATTTTGTATTTATCCATTTTTTTTGTTCTTCAAAACAGCAGAACTTAGCATTTGAAACCAAATATCCAAAACGTTCTTTTCCTCCAACAAAATCCTCGAAATGTTGAGGTAAACCCTAAATAGACTTGAATATGTTTAATTTGAGCACAAATTTTCACTACAAAATAAAAGCATTTTTCAACGAAAAAGAAAACTATTTTCGTCCAAAAAATTTCCCCGAGCATATTTGACCCCAGCCCAACACTATCAAACGATTGCTTCTATTCATATCGTTAAGCTTTTTCCAACAAAAAAAACACCAAAATTAACATTTGCTCTGCACTCAAAATTGAATAATCGATTACTACATGTTCTGTTGATTATGTGGTATCTGTGTAAACATTTGTGGTATTTGTTGAGCAAATAAAAATATGTACATTTCAAACAGAAGCATTTCAGTCGATGGTACGTCAATCAGGTTTATTTGCATAGTACAAATAGCTAATTACACTGGACAAAATATACGTATTGCATGTAGAATAATCATATTCTCACACATCCAACTAGCGGCACCAACAATAGCAACCAAAAAGAAAAAAAAAATGTAGTCCAGTTGTTTGATAAACAATAAGTACCATGTGTCTCATATTTCAATTGATCGTTCCAATATTTTTCACATGTTGCACTAAATGTTTATCACAACGGAATGCTGTTGTATTTGATTTCATTTTTTTTTCTCCCTACATTTCGCCGGATTATTTCTATTTCAAATTGTTTTATCACTTGTGTCGTTGTCTTGAATATCGGTCGAATAGTTGTTGAAACATTTCAATGCCGTTTGATGGCAATCGAAGATTATTGTTTTAGCATCGATTTGTAGAATAAAACAATCGCATTCATTGGATAATTTGAATTGTGCAGAAATGGCGACGGAGGCGGCTGCGTCGTCGTCATCATCGACGCCAAAAATATGACATTGGAATGAGATATGAAATATAATTGATGATCGTATGTTTTTATCAATGCAATCAAGGGGACGATGTGCAATAAACAGATTATAGGAAACATTTGAAACATTTTACATTCGTCGATCCTGTATCGACAAAAGCATTCTAGTCCGGAGCGCACAGAGCGTGTAGAACAAGCAAAAAAGAGTCGAACTTAGCACAATTCGATACGGCAATTGCCTTGCTATGCAAATATGGAGGTTGATTCTCATTCTCTTTGGTCTTTGGTGAGTGGTCTGTGGCCACAGTGCGTGTACAATTTTAGGCATAGGATTCGGTGTGCATTGAAATTAAAATCGGTCAAAGCATTCGGAAGGGCAGCGATGGGCAGAGTGGCAGTACGATGGAGCTAGAGAAGTACAGAGACTGAGTGAATGAGAGAAAGAGAGCAAAACGCAGACACAAACACACACATACACACACACAAAAGGACGTTATCAGAAACAATAAACCAGTTAAATGAAACAGATTGGCTATCATGTACGACACGCTTAGTGTTTTCCAGCTCATTCAAAACGGTAATTTAATCTGATATATGTTTCCAAACTCAAACGCAATGTTTAAAGTACGAATGATTTTGGCGCAACGGAATATTTGGCATATCCAAACCGAGAACAAAGATTACAGCACACACAAAGTGAGAGCGAGTTCGATAGAACGAACAATGCTCGCGCATATTGGTAAAACCGCACTAAAAACAATCCAATAAACGAGAGATAGAGTGACTCATGGCACGACGCACACATGGCCAATTGATTCTATCACAAATTGACAACGTGCAGTGCAAAAGTGAAAACATGCACAGCACACACACACACGACATACAGTGTCATAGCTCGGGTGAAAAGTCGAGTGTCTCATGTGTCTGTGACCTGGTAGAAAAAAAACTTATGATAACTATTCTATTTATCTGCTATCATCAAGGTTTGTGGTGAAAATCTCCACGAAAGGCGTGAATTAACTTATAAGCGGCAAAATATCGCCGAATTTCAAACGCAATTTTCTCCAACACGATATGATTCTTTTTCAATCGCAATGTGACTTGATTATTCACACCTTCCATACATATGTGTTATAAGCATCTTTTTCTTCGCTAGCAATGGAAATCGAGCGGGCATAGCCATCGGGAATGTCTTCTCCATAGGTAGAAAAACGTTCGTACGTGCAAATGATTTATTCAAAGTTTTGAACATCAATTCGCTTTTCCACCTTTATCACCAATCCGGTGTGTGTGTGTGTATTTGTGCTTGGCAGCGAAGTAGCAACGCTTTGCCAAGACGTGCTAATGATGTCTCGATATCATTTGGCAGTAAACATTTCGGCGCGTAGATTATCATTTTTATTTTATTTTTTTGCGATTAATTATTAAAAGATGAAATGCATCGAATAAGTGTGTGTGTGTGTATATATTTTTGAAGTGGATACCCACTCAACAATAAGTGTCTAGCAAACAATTTAAATTGAATGGCAACAAGACATAATCTCTTTAAAAATGCATAAAATTTTCTTTTTTACGATGTGGAAAAGAAAACGGTGAACGATGCCCAATGTTTGATTTGGTGAGGGGAAAGCCAATGTAAAGAATGGTTGCATGTAATTTGCGTAAACAGTAGGAAGCGGGCGCACGGACATCGTTTTATCCGAATCATCGATGATGACATAATTTATCGATGCGCACTGATTTATTGCTGGTGGTTTTGAACATGTTCCAGCTAAAATTACTGGATAAAAAATAATCGCTGTCAAATCTCTCGATTGTGTCGCATATTTCTAATGGCCAAAGAATTTTCCAGCCCCGTTTTGATCGATCAAAACACAAGACAATTTTCCAATGTGTAAAATTTGTGCGATGGTTTATTATTAGAGAGAACAAGTGCGGCCGCTCCGTTCCAATGCAAAACATTGTTCGGTCGTGTGATAAAATCGACTTTTTGAAATGAATGAACAAGATGAAATAGTAATAATCATAAATTATACAGTTTATTAATGATATTGTAAACGATATAAAAATTTAAACACACACACTCACTCTCGCTCGCTCTCTCTCTTTCTCTCGCACACACATGCACACCGATCACAACCTCTCTCTCACTCTCGACACGCACGCAAACACGAAAAATGCACTAAGAGTGATAATTTACTGGCTATCAACGGTTTATGTTATGCATTCTATTAGGTTTTTGACGCTTTTCATTCGAGCACGATTCGATCAGTATATATATATATATGTGTGTGGTGTTGGGATGGCATTTACATACACACACACGCACACGCGACAAAAAAAGATAACACTTTTTGCATTAAAATTAAATGAATGTTAACAGCTAAAAATGTTGAACGACAACTTAATTTATTTTATTGTTGTGCAAAACCCCGAATTCACTATTATTGGACACTGTGTTTCAGTGTGTGGTTGTTGTTTTTTTTTCTGGTCGGTTGTTATTTGTTTCGTGTAACATTTTACACGTTTTTTTTTCTGTTGATTATTTGAACATTTATCGGACATTTTCCAATGGAAAGCCTCTAATATGTGCCAAATCAGGGGAAAAAAATTGGAAATGCCAACCGATTTTGATATCTGAACAGGATAAGGAGTGAAGATGGAATAGTTTTTTTTTGTATTGAATCGATTTTGACCTTTTTTCAGTTTTTGTCGATTTTTTTTTTCTAGTTTTCGAACATTTTTCAACTTTTTTTGCGACATCTACAATTTCCAATTTATGACATTCGATTTTAATTTTTCACTAAATTTTTTTTCTATTTTCGATTAGTTTTCGCTTGCTTTTTTTAACGCACTCATTTTGTGCAATGGTCATTAGTCTAGTTACAAAAGTCAGCGGTAAAATGTTTCATCGACACAATGTTATTGATATCAATTCGATTAATTACACAAAATTGTTTTATTCGCGTTTTAAATGAATTTTTCCGCGGATTTTTAAGTTGCGTGCAGTTTTGTGAACAAATTTATAACTTATTCCATATGTGCACCAAATCGTTCGGGATTTAAATTCGTTCATTTCTTTAAATTCCATTGTTTGTTTAAATTTGTCTTTTTGTTTAAATTCATTCTTTCCTTAATTTAATTAAAACAACTGCTCTTCTGTTCTTTACTTTCGTCAATTTCATCTTTTACAATTTTTTTCTCTCTCTCTCTCTCCCTCTCTCTCTTTCTCGATTCGATCAAATACCATAACTTACTTAATTTGTTGCGATGGTTGCATCCATGCTCGCGTTCCAAGTGGTTCTTCTTTGAGTGATGTGATCGGTCCGCGATTTTGATTTAAATCACTACCGGGCGGTAATGTGAACATTAAACTGCTGGACCGTGGCCCGGACGATGGATACAATTTTCGACCCCATTCCAATTCGAGTGTTGGCCATGGTGACGCCGAGCTGAAGCAGCCCGGTACTGGTTCGTCGGAACGCAGCTTTAAGCCGTTATCAACCACTTGATCACAAAAGAAAATGGTGACGATTTAATGGTTTACACTAGCACGTTGAATAATCAAATGTTGTGTATTCCGAACGATATCGTTGATTTCGCACGAAAACACAAAACGATGTTCACACAAAATAAATGGTTCTGTTTTTATCTTTCTTTCTTTGTTTTTTTTTTGCGATCGAACAGATTCGCTTCAAAATCTTCAATATATTTTTGTCACGCGCGAATTTAAAATAGGACAGTTTTTGAGAAAAAAAAACAGATTTCGTTTATCTTCACAAGTGTTTTGAATTTTTCGAAAATCGCAGAGTTTTTGTTTATTCTTTCACATACTTCTTTTTCTGTTCAAAACCGATGACAAACTGATTTCGGCGAAGAAAAAAAAAATCAACGAATTTCTTCGATTCGATTTCAACTGCTTTTGGTTTTCACGGTGTGAAAAATTTCGCTATCAACAAACAAACAAAAAATTATTTCGTTTCGCAGCAAGAGAAAAAAAGCAACAAATTTTCGGACCGAAATGAAAAATTTGTTTTGTAGATTTTCGGAAAAAATTTTGATTAATGAAAATGCACAAGGATAATTTTACAAATGTAGTTATAGCATGACGACACGGAAAAATTATCTCCAGAGAAAACGCGTTCGTCCCGAGTGACTGGCAAACCCCAACTGAATCCGCTGATATGTTATTAACCATATAAAATAGTCGTTTCGACAATATCAGAGATACACGCACACATGGTCCCTTCCTTCAGCTCTCACACACAGCACAGCATAGCACGGCACGGCACAGGCATAGAGCACAGCACACAGTGAGCGCATCTGATACACACACCGAATGAATGGGTGAGAGTGAGAGAGAGAGAGAGAGAGAGAGTCAAGGCAAGGCAAGCGATATACACACACTCTCTTTCTCTCACTTCTCAAAACACACAAACACACACACGCACTGAAAAGCACACCAGCTACAGAAGCAGCAACAGAAGCAGTGGCAGAAGCGACGATGGCATGTGACGATACTCTTACGTGGACAAAAGGAGATTCAAGCGTTACGTTTTTTGTAAGCGACGTCTTGTTTCATATCATTTGTTGTATGAAATTCATCACCAGAAACAGAATCACAATGTTTTTGGAAAAATCACTTGAAATTTGTTCGATTTGGTCAATCGGTCACCAAGAACTGCACAAATCACAAATTCGATTGATGTCAAAACCATTAATCCATTTAAGTCAACCGGATCGCGACACCAATTTCAAACACTCACTTAACGTACACAAAAAAATAACGGTTTTTCCGGGTGATTATTCCATTCTGTAATCGGAAAATGGCACAAAATGTATGTTTTTTTTTCAGCACAAATTATTCAAGTAAAAAATCTCGTCCCAAAATATTTCTTTTGAATTCAAATTAATTCGGAATATTTTCTTGAATTCGTTGCGTGTGTGTTGGAAGGGAAAACAAAGCCAATGTCCCAATCATCACAAACACGTCTTATTACTGCTTTATGCTTCGACTTAAGGTTCACGCTCGCGAAATCATTTGCGTTTGAGGTTGTTTTGTTGCGGCACCGACAACTACGACGACGACGACGACAAGATTTTACCAAAACAAAAAGCCCAAGTACAAGGAAAACGGTGTGTTAAGAGAATAAAACCGAAATCTCGTCTTTCGTTTCCCTCTTATTCGCATTCACGCTCCTTCTCTCTGTGTGTTGGTTCGGTTGCCGAATTGCGCAACTCAACTCACACACTTCGAATGGCACAAGAAAAGCCCCAAACACAAGATGTTTTCGTTGGAACAGCACACAAAATACCCGAAAAACCACATACAAAATCCTATGTAATCACGACAACCGAATTTCGAGATGCTCACTGTTTGCACATCCATGTGCACACACAGTTTTCGATACGGGGTTTCTACGGTGGAAACGCACATGGAGAGAGCTATCACAAATGGCATTGGATAAGTGTTTTTTTTCCCGTCGACCGACAACGAAAACAACGCACGTATATGAGCAGTGAGCGAAGGAGAGGATTTTATGCGTTTGTGTGTATATGTGTGTGCGCATGTTGAACCGACAGCATTAGGAGAATATGAATGGTACAAGAGCACCGTAGCACTGTACTAGGCCAACAAACCCCGCCCACTGACAGCGTTCATTGTGAAGTCGTGATCGCTCGTTGGTTACTGATTTTGTTTAATTTTTAACAGAAATTCCTCAAGAAAATTGTCTTAAATTTCAACTTGGGATTCCCGTACGGCTATTCATGCACTAGTTACGTTTGAATGAAAGCCAACGAACGAAAACACAAACAAAATTACAAAAATATACACTCATCTATTCGCGGCAATTATGCATTTTGAAAATTTGTTGAAAATCACTCGAACAGGTTATTGAACAAGCGGCGCAGTTCAGAGCTCCCATTTTTCACTTTATCTCGAACATCTTTCCAATACATTTACTGTCTGTTGTTGACTCGCATTTGCGAAATTATATTCGACAATTCAATAAAAATCGCTTCACATTGACGGACACGATGGAAACAACATTTTCGTGTCGAATCAACAACGTATAACTGCATGCACGAAATTTTACCCTTTTGGAATTGAATCCAGTATTATAAACAACTTACCGAATATTCTGCGAATCAACAACCTGTTGAATTCGATGGGGAGACCGAACAATAAGCATTTTTTTTGACAGTGCACACCAGTTAAGGCATGAATTGGATTTTTAGTGCGTAATTTGTTGGAGTTTGATATGAAATTTCGATTTTTTTAAAAATGAAAACCCAAGGTAGAACTATAAAAATTCCAACGATATATAGTAAATAAGGGAAAGAGATAGAGAAAATGAAAGAAATCCCAACACTTCGAAAAGAAACTCTAAAATGAGAACTACATAAAAAAAATACAAATATTTTCCCCCCAAAAAAACTGATTTTTGGCCCAAAATGTTCAATTTCTCAAAAATCAAGAGAAGGTAAACTTTGTTCAACAATAAATTCGCTACATTCCGTGGATATTTAATGAATTCATCTATTTTGTCAAAGATTTATGTATTTTTTTTCACGTTTAAGTGAGTAGTCAGTTACTTGAGTTGGCAGCCAGTGAAAAAAATTCATCCAACAAAAACCAACGCGGTAAATTTTATTTGTCAACATTTAATTAGTATTTTCGAAAGAAAAAAAAACTCTTATAAATGATTTAGTGCAATGTTTTCGCAAGGAAACCCAAATTGACCGATGTTGAATAGTCGATTCATCATATTTTTTCCCGACTCGATCCACATCTCCGGCACGAGTAAATAAATGGGAGCAGCAATTGTGTTTTTTTTTCCAATTTTAAACAAAAACGCCAAAGAAAAAAAAAATCAAGAAAAAAAGCTGTTTTTGTTCCGTTTTTGTTGTTCAACGCCGTTTTCACCAATCGGATGCATGGTGTTTTTGAGTGTGTTCGGCATTTGTCTAAGCATTGAAAAGAGTTTGCGCGCAGCTTACCGAAGCTTTCATTGGATCTTAGAAACATTGTGTGGTTTGAAGCGTACATTGGAAACCGCCTACATTCCACACAGGCAGCACGTTGTGCCGTTGTCTAAATTCGCGGTTGCTGCATCTTAAATGCTTTTCGGAAAACGTTAAACGTCCGTTGCTGCAGCTGGCTTTAATTTGAGTTGCATTGGAATTCACGAGAGAAAAACGAACGCTTGAATTTATGGTTTTGCATACGGAATGCAATCTGCTGCTGTTGCAGCATATCGAGGTGGTCGATGAAAATACGGGGCACGTAAAATCGGAATGAATCGTCCATTCGATGAGACAATTCACATTGAGTTTGATTTTGCCGTTTGTTGTGCACATTTTAAACATATGGACAAAACGATTTCGATTAGCTCTCGCCCTAATGCCAAAAATGCACCGCTGCAATCGTATGCAGTCGTCAAGAAAAGATGATATAATAATGAGCGAACGAGATCGAGTACCGTGGCGAAACACAGTACTTTGCACCTAATTGAATGTATGCTCGCTCGCTCGCTCGCTCGCTCGCGCACACACATCACCATCCTTCGACAAGTTATTCGTTTCACACAAAAATTAGTGGCAGAGCCGCTACCCTTCAACCAAAACAAAGCACAGACAAAACAAAGAATTTGTTCAAATTTATCATATATTTTTTGTCTGACGGTGCGGTGCCTGTGTCTCGTCTTGCTCATCTCCTCTTTCATGCAGATATAAAAACGGGCGCCGCTCAAGTATCGACTACTCTCGCTACCTCTCCGTTTATTGTCGCATTGTTGTTTGCCTCATAATCAATTTTGGTGTTCAAAAAATAGTTTGCCCATATGTACGATTTTCATGTTGTAATGTTATGCATTCATTGATTCGGGGCTCTCGCACTCTCTCTTTATCTGTCGTTGAATTTGCAACAAACGAGTCGATAGCACTTCGTTCACTACCGTCAGATGCACAACAAGCAGCGATATTAAAAACCATCAGAAATGAATACGTTCGTTCGTTCGTCCGCACGCTGTTGACGAGCATAAAACGAGTTACTAGTATACAATTTCATTCATCGTACGATGTGCGTGTTTTTTTTAATGTTCCATACATATGTACACCAACATTGAATTGGTTGTTGCTAACATTATTGCCCATTCGACTCAGTCGATTTTTTGTTTTCCTTCTTTTCATGTGTTTTCTCTAATGTTTATTTTATTCAAATCAGATGCGCTCATTACCTTTCATTAAATTTTTAAATGCCTCTCCTTGCTATGCATCGATCGCAAAAAGGATGTGGTGCAGTCGTGCTGGGATTGGTTTTGCTACCAACAAATTTACAACATATGTTTACTTTTCGATATATATATATATATATATATGTGAAATCGGTGCATTTTGCGTAATTTCAAAAGTCAGTGAGTTTTGATATCATTCAATTTATTTACCGGTTTCGGTATTATTTGGAAAAAAGTAGACCCTTTTTTGGATTTCATTAGTAGGAGTTATTTGGGTATTTTTTCAACTATTTCTTGACATATTACGTTTTAGGATCATGATTGCCAACGATTATTGGCCAATGTATCAACAATTGGTAATTCTTAGTCTGGAAATAAGCACATGAAGCGTCGTTATTGGAAATTTGCAGTGAAACGCTTGATAAGTCATCAGTGAGTGCTAAATCCGAGACTAAAAAATGAAAAGAAAACGGAACATTCTTAAATGGGATGAAATATGACGGCAGAACAGCTTCTGTAATTACGTATTTGAAGAGTAAATTACGTCAAACTCCCAATATCTAATGGTTCAAGTGAACTGGTGTCGTCATTCTGTTCGATGACGATTCCATCGATGGAATTTTTCATGTTATTTGTTAAAATTTTGATTTTTTTATTTTCATTTAATAATAGTTTGAGAGAAAAATATGTAGGTAAGTAATTCGAGATTCAACAGCCCGAACGAAATTCATGCGATTCAGTACACGTGCGTCGAGAACTGTTCGAATAATGACATATTTCAAAATATGAATAATAGCAAATTACATAGATACAAGATGCTCGTGTGCTGACTCTGTTTCAATTTGTTTGTTTTTGCTTATGAATTTTTCAAAAAATATTTTTCATTTTGAAAGAAGAACTGAAACGTTCATTTGTATTCACACGTAAGACGGATATGAGTAACAGTACGGTTATAAAAGGCCATTGCTGATATCGCTGGTTATCATTGTCGAA